AGTTCTGTGAGTTCATCTAGTGAACTGATGAAACTGAGGGTGGTTTTTCGAAATCCCTGAAATTGCAGTTGGTGTCAGAAGTGAAGGAAGTGTTGTATGGAGAAAGTGCCTTCTAAAACTTTGTAGTTGGTCTTAAAAATTTGCTGTAGCTGCGCCAAAGCTTGCAATGGGCAAAAACCGAGGGTGCCATGGAGTGCCAAGAAGGTAGAATCAAGAGGCATATCAACCAGGTAAAACAGTCTGGCCAGGACACCATGGGGATGACTCCACTAATCTTTCTGTCTACAGGTGTTCCCTAAAGAGAAGACCTACATGACCTCACCATATGAGCAAAGTGAGGTCATGTATTCCCACACTGGCCATTCTTCCAGGGGTGGGAGGAAAATAGGAGGGGTCACTTTTAGCTTTTCCAGCAGAAAACTGGCAACTGGACTTGCCCTCCAAAGAGATCCAGGGGAAAAGACGCTGGGTACCAAACATGGCACATTCCTACTTCAAAAGTAACACATGAGAAACTATCAATAGCAGCAAGATTCCATTTTGTGTTAGAGATACTCTATGCAGAAGAACCTGAAGGCTTGGTCTCCTCCTACTGAGGCTGTGTAGGGGCCAGAAACAATAGCTGCCTACCCCCAGGGACACTGGCAGGATGGAGCTGGGAGGCAAAGGAGAAGGCTGGACTGAGGGGCAAATAAGGAAACAGGTCAGGAGACCAAAAAGAACGAGGGAGGGCATGTTATTCTAGGTGCCCATCCAAGAGTAGCTGACCTGGTGGGAGGCTGTGCTGGCTGGGTTGTTCTGGGCACATTGAGGATATGCCTCAATGGGCTCAGAGGGGACCAAGGGGCGTCTTTAGCTCAATGATTTTCCAACCCTATTTTTGTGGAGTATCTTATGAGCTGGGTTCATGTGTTCCCCCTTCAACATCAAACAAAATCCAATACTTCTCTTTTCCCAGGTCTACATAGACAAGACATTGATTAGACTGTCTCAGTTCTCCTCAGGTTGGTCCTCATGGTCATTGACCCCTGGTTCAACCTGAAAAGATCCTTTTTTATTTGTCCTGTATATTAGGATTTGTATAGAAGACTTAGGCTGCTAAATCAAAGCTCAAATACCTTGGAATCCAGCTGCTATTATGTGGATTTGATTTTTCCCCTCCAAATCTCATTTTTAAAATTTGATTCCCAGTGTTGGAGGTGGGGCCTAATGGTAGTGTTTGAGTTACTGGAGCAGATCCCTAATAAACAGATGAGTGCCTTCCCTTGGGGGTGAGCGCATTCTCGCTCTGTTAATACCAGAGAGAGTTGGTTGTTAAAAAGAGCCTTGTCTCTCTTGCCTCCTCTCTTGCCTTGTGGTGTCTGCACAGGCTAGCTCTCCATCATCCTCTGCCATGAGTGGAAGTATCCTGAAGCCCTTACCAGATGCAGATGCCCAACCCTGAACTTTTCAGCCATCAGAATCATGAGCCAAATAAGTATTTTTTCTTTATAAATTACACAGCCTCATGTATTACTTTATAGCAACACAAAATGAGCTAAGACACTAGTTTGTTACCTACGTAAAGTGTCACCTTCTACTGGAGGAGTAATGTGTCCACACTGCTGACCTATCCCATTAAAAACAGTAGTGAAAGGGGCTTGTTCACTTCCCAAGTCAGTCAGTGTATTAAAATTAGTCCTATATTTAAAACAGATATTTGACTATATCTCATGATTCTGTGGGTCAAAAATTCTACCAGGGATCAGCTGGATGATTCTTCTGTTCCTTGTGGCATTGACAGTGGTCAGTCATTCAGTGATATTCAGCTGATGGATGAAATGGTTCAGAGAGTCCAAGACAGCATCAATGATGTGTCTGGTGCCTTGGCAGGAAGGGCTGGAAGGCTGGGGCTGGGCTGCAGGGGGCGTCTACATTCCAGATGGAAAAAAAGTGAATCTCTTATATTGGATGCAACAGATCTACTTAAGCAATGCTGCCCTCCTCCAGTTTTCTCTGTCCAAGCAAAACAGTTAAGTTTGATTTTTTTCAGATCTTTTTCACTATGTTGATACAAAGCAGACTGAATTTCTTTATCTGTAAGATGGAGACAGTAATTGTACCCACTTTTTAGGGTAACCATCTATGGATTGCTTTGTTTCAAAAAAAAAAAAAAAAAAAAGGAATAGTTGGCTGGGTGTGGTTCCTCACGTCTGTAATCCCAGCACTTTGGGAGACTGAGGCAGGTGAATAACGTGAGGTCAGGAGTTCAAGATCAGTCTAACCAACATGGAGAAACCCCATCTCTACTAAAAATACAAAATTAGCCAGGCGTGGTGGTACATGCCTGTAATCCCAGCTACTTGGGAGGCCGAGGCAGGAGAATCTCTTGAACCCAGAAAGCAGAGGTTGCAGTGAGCCGAGATCACACCATTACACTCCAGCCTGGGCAACAAAAAAAAAAAAAAGTTATTGGGTGCAAAAGGAATCACAAAAACTGCAATTCCTTTTTCACCAACCTAAAAGCTCATACTGAGTATTTTCTACATGTTAAATACTCTTCTAAGTGTTTTACATGTAATGTGTCAATTAGTCCTCAAGGTGCCTGGTATATGGAAGGCACTCAATAAATACATGCTGATGGAAATAAAGAAAGAAGGAGGGAAGAAATTAACCAAGAAGGGAAGGAAGGAAGGGAGGGGAAAAAAAAAGAAAGGAAGGAAGGGAAGAGAGGAGGAGGAAAAGGGTTAAGAAAAAAGGGATAAGGGAACAGGAGGATGAAAGGAAGGAACTGAGACTTGTAGTGGTGCTGGTAAACTTGGGAGGTTGGTTTACCTTTCATAAAGTTGCAATGAAGAAACTTTTCTGAAGAAAAAAATGCAAAGTATGGTGTAATTCTAGTCACAATATTGGTTACACATCATAAAAATATGAACTTATATAAATTAAAATGAAAATAAAAAGAACTAAATTGCTTTCTAGACCAATGTCCCTGGAATTTATCCAGCATAAAAGAAGTAGGAGGACTATTTTGCTGTTACTGGAATTAATAAAAAAAAAACAAACTGTTTAAGATTTATTTTTTCTACTTGTATACATGAAATGTCACAACTGTTTTTTCAGGAAGCACAGCTCATCTTGTTATAGTTCCAAGAGTCAAAGAAATAAGTCTATTTGGACAACAATTGGCATAAACAGACACATGTCGCAACTCTTTAAACGCTTTCGTTCACTTTGAGTGAAATGAACTTGACTTACTTAAAGCTGTCACATTGTGATTTCCCGATTGTTCTCCCTGTCAGTGGACTGTGACAATCACAGCACACTGTACACATGTCCTTCATATCCCCTGGGTCCTCTGTTTCTAAGAAACACAGTGGCTGTGATGTTGGGTTGAGGAAGGACACATCATAACCAGCCCAGCCTGGCCCATGACAAACTGCAAAGAAGAGATTGTTGATTTCCTTGCTTTATCATCCAAAGCTTTTCTCTGCTTGTATTAGTCTGTTTTCATGCTGCTGATAAAGACATACCCAAGACTGGGCAATGTGCAAAACAAAGAGGTTTAACTGGACTTACAGTTCCATGTGGCTGGGAAGGCCTCACAATCATGGCAGAAGGCAAGGAAGAGCAAGTCACATCTTATGTGGATGTCAGCAGGCAAAGAGAAAAGCTTGTGCAGAGAAACTCCCAGTTTTAAAACCATCGGATCTTGTGAGATCCATTTACTACCACGAGAACAGCAAGAGAAAGACCCACCCCATGGTTTACCTCCCACCAGTTCCCTCCCACAACACGTGGGAATTATGGGCACTACAAGAGGAGAACTGGGTGGGGACACAGAGCCAAACACTGCTCCACCAGAGCGTCAGGACGATCTGTCAAGACCTTGCCTCTGGAACCAGATCTTATCCTAGATTTTGGTTAAAAGGTCCCAAGAAAAGGTACTGTCCAATGACCAGAGAATAAGGTACCCTTCCTGGTAAACCTGCTAGATCCCTTTACAGCAGGGACACCTCTGTGGTTGGTGATCCTACTGAAGTGACAAGATGTGGGCCTTACACCCAAGACAGCCAAGCTCTTGAAGAAATTGGCTCACCGACTCATTCATTCGATCATTCAACAAATATTTATTGAGCACCCAATGAGTGTCAGGAATTGTGCTGAGAGCTAGGATTCAGGGATGGAAACAAACAAACAACAACAACAAAATTTCCTCTCTGGCCTCGAGTAGCTCTCAGTCTAAAAAAGTGATGCAGTATAGAATTAAGGTTTAGGCACAACATTCTGATTCACCATGCTTTAGTAAAATAATATCACCGGGCTTTAGTTTCCTAATCTGTAATATGTTCATGACAATATGACCTCCTTGAGGGTTACTGTGAGAACTGAGTTAGTAATTTCAAAGTACATGGGCAGTGTTGAGCGCACAGTGATTAAAAATACCTTAGAGATTTTTCTCCAGTAGAATGACGGCCTCGTTGTTTATTCATTTATGAATGAATGAACAGAATGCTTGAGTCCCACAGATATAAAATTTCACAGGAAAAAATTCAAGACACGTGTCCTAGTCTATTGGTACTTCTATAATGAAATATCTAAGACTAAGTCATTTATCAAGAATAAAACTTTGTTTTTATTCTTGATAAAAGTCCAATATTGGAAGTCCAATATAAGGGCACTAGGCACCAGTTGCAGTAGCTCACGCCTATAATCTCAGCCCTTTAGGACGCCCAGGCGGGAGGATCCCTTGAGGCCAGGAGTTCAAGACCAGCCTGGGCAACATAGTGAGATCTTATCTCTACAAAAAAAAAAAAAATTAAAAGAATATTAGCCAGACTTGATGGTGCTCACACATAGTCCCAGCTACTTGGGAGGCTGAGGTGGGAGGACTGCTTGAGCTCAGGAGTTCAAGGCTGCAGTGAGCCATGATCACTGCACTTCATCCTGGGCAACACACTGAGACTCTGTGTCTAAAATAAAAATCAGGGTGCTGGTACGTTGGGTGCCTGATGAAGCCTGGTCTCCACTTTCAAGACGGTGCCTCATTGCTGCATTCTTCTGAGGAAAGGAGCCCTCTGTCCTCACATGACAGGAGGGATAGAAAAGGCGAAAAGGGGTGAACTCCATTTGGCTAGCCCTTTTATAAGGGCATCTAATCCTATTCATGAGGGTGGAGCCCCTACAACTCAATCACCTCCTTAAGGCCATGCCTCTTGATACTGCGACACAGGGGATTAAATTTCAACATGAATTTTGGAAGGGACAAAAACATTCAAACCACGGCAGCCCCTTTGACAACTAGAGAGTTTAAGAGTAAGATTGAAAGTTCAAGAGTGATGAGAAAGAAAATAAACTTTCCATCTGAGGAATGGGAGCCCCCTTTAAATTATCAGGCCCAGAGAGGCACTGAAATGTGACAGCAGTCAAGTTCCAGTCAAGTTCCAATCCCATTAAGCTAAGTAATTGTTTCAAAGTTGCCTGCCATAATGTCTCTAGACTGAGTGTTGCCACCGATGGCTATAAATTAACCTAACAATGCTGTACACTGGACATCATAACTCACTCCCCATAGTTTAACAACGTACAGCCAATAACTAATCAATGTTATTTCTGTAAACAAGTGAGAATTCCTAACAAGCAACTTTCGTTGTTACCCCTCTCCTGATTAGTCCTTTCTTCTTTAAAACTGGAACGTCAACTTTGTTCCGCAGAGCACTTCCCAGGGTTTCCCAGGCTTCAGTCCTCAACCTTGGCCCAAATAAAACTCCCTACCTATATTAATTTTACCTCAGTTTCTTTTTTTAGGTCAACAATGAGTAGGTCTGAGAATGAGGATAGAAGCTTAGAGCCAACATATCAAACACCTGGGTTGCAATTGCTCTTGAGAACTCTCTACGGTCTGGAGTGGCTCCCTTTGTCTCCTGATCCAGAGGCTGAGATCCTTTTTTTTTATTATTTTTTAAAATTTTTGTTAAGAGACATAGTTTCTTTGTGTTACCCAAGCTAGAGAGCAATGGCACAATCCTAGTTCACTGCAAGCTGAAATCCTTTATAGTAGGCCTGACCTCATGGCTCTGTCAGCTTAAAAACTAACCTTTCTACCCAGTAGCAGCTTCCTTCCAGAAGCTAGATCCTTTTTAGCCTTGATGAACCCCTTGTTGTTAAAATGCACAATTCAAGCACAGGCGTATCTGCTAAACTTGCCTGCTGCTCATAGCATTTTATCTCCTTTGTGAGTAATCAGACATCAGCACTCAGACCTGTCAGTGGCACAGCCACGGATGTTTACCCATATTGTCATCTTCATGTGGAAATAGAGAAGTTGCAGCTTTCGAAGGTGAAGTCATCTGTCTGATGCCACACAGTAATAAATCTGTATATTTAATCTATGTTTCCAATGCCAGAGCTAATACTGTTCACCTCACACTAACCTGCTTTCAGAAAAATAATAGTGGATGTCAGGCAAGTTTATAGTTTGAGTGCCTTTTGGCCTCCTTGGAAATCCAAATATTTCACTCCTTAGAAATCCAAATATTCAGGGAAATAGTGCCTGAAATCCCACTCTTCCAGTTCAATTCCTTTGGCCTGGCATTTAAGGCCCCCATTACCCCCGATCTAAACTCTCATTCTTACTGTTTGAAGATCTCTTCTATCTAGCTCTCTTTATTGTCAAACTAATGTGTCTGCTTCCCCCCATCACCTCACTCTGTTAGACTTTCCTGCCTCTCTGTCCAAGTTCATGAACTTGTCTCTACCTGGCAAACTCTAATAATTGCCAGCTGTAAATGCTTAACAGCTATTTGCTAGAAAAATTAATTTCTTTGCACTCAGCATTGCTCTAGGAATCTTCTTTTAAAATGCAAACATAATACACATATCAAGATAAGAAGCACGCACTCCATACTGTTTACGACGACTTTTGGAGAAGGGTCTGGGGAAACGTGAGGGGAGTGTGGGGCTGTAGGAGATATACTTCCTACATTTTACAATTAAGAGAGTGGAGAATAGGGAAATTGATGGAGGGGGTAATGGGTGGCGTTTATGGAAAACTTGTTAGCCGGAAATGGGTGTTGGGGAGTGACTTTAAAAAACTGGACTATGACAATGACAACGAACCTTTATAGTGAGCCTGTTGTTTTTATAGTGTCCTTCCTTCGTTCAAATTATCTAAAGCTTCACAGTGATCCTCTTAGCTTATTACTTCTCATCTTACAGACGTGGAAACTGAGGAGAAGTAAGTGTAAGGTCACGCCGCTGGTAGAGTAGAGGGCGAAATCCAGATCTCTTGGCTCTGGAAGCTTGAAATCAAACACAAAAAGGAAAAAATCAAAGGCGGTCTGGAAGGCACAGGAAAGAGGAGCGTCCTGATTCTTTGTTCAGTCTGGACCAGTGGGAGAGGGAAGCAGTCTGTGGCAAGTCGGAGGTGGGACGAGGACGAAGACTGGGTTTGGGTTGGAGAGCCCCTGTCTGCTGAGACCCTTCACTGCAGTCTCCTCCGCTTGCTTCGCGGAGCTCAGGAAACGCGGCGTGTCTTGGCCCCGCGCGGCCGCCGTAGAGTCCCCGTTGCCATGACTCCTGAATTCCAATGGCGACGCACTGAGGAGTGGAGGTGACGGGTGAAAAGCGTCCTTCGGGGTCCGGGTCCGGCTTGCGGGGCCAGCGAACTGGAGAGGCGCCATGGGCTGGAGTAAGCCCCCCTCCACCTTCCGTCCTCCATCGTTCCCCTTGTGGGCATCGTCCCGGGTCCCGTGGGATCCTTGCCGCCGGCACCAGCCCCGCGCTGTCTGTTCCCCGGCGCCCGGGCGGACCCCAGCCCCACCCGGCCCACCGCCCCGCAGCCCTGGCTGCGCCAGGTCCTCTGCAGACTGGCCGGGCAGCCTGGCCTTTTCCAGCTCAGGTTCCTAATCTGTAAAATGGGCGGGGCCGTGGGAAGCAGAGGAAGAGGCAGAAAGGCACTGGACTCCAGGAAAGGGGATGGGGAAGGTGCAGGGTATTTGGCGTTAGACACACCGGGTTCCGGCCAAGCGGCTCCTTACTCGCTGTGAACGTGGGCCAGTCACTGTCTCCAAGCCGCAATCTTCGGACTCATTCCGGAAGGCAGTGTAGCCTAGCGGTGGAGGGTCCCGACTCTGGAGCCAGGGTTGAAGTCCTCCCTCTTCCCGTGACTTTGAGCGAGTGACTTCACCCCTTGGGCCTCAGCTTCTTCATCTCCAAAATAAAGGCAATTATAGTACTGTTTTAGACACAATAAGTGTTATAAACGTGTTTTGTTGTTGTTATTTTTGTTTGAGACGGAGTCTTGCTCTGTCGCCAGGCTGGAGTGCAGTGGCGCGATCTCAGCTCACTGCAGCCTCCGCCTCCCAGGTTCAAGCAATTCTCCTGCCTCAGCCTCCTGAGTAGCTGGGATTACTGGCGTTCGCCGCCACACCAGGCTAATTTTTGTATTTTTAGTAGAGACGGGGTTTCGCCATATTGGCCAGGCTGATCTCGAACTCCTGACCTCAGGTGATCCACCCGCCTCGGTCTCCCAAAGTGCTGGGATTACAGGCGTGAGCCACCGCGCCGGGTTGCAAACGTGTTTCTTAAAAAATATACTAACAGACTGCAAGGTGATGCGGGTAAGGTATTTATGTTGGATGAACCATTTGATATCAACAACGTTTTTGAGCTCCCCATATGGCGGTTTTGTACAGCTCCACCTAAACGATCACTTATCATTGTAAAAATGTCATAATTAACTTCTTTTTAAATCAAGAGACCGCTCCAGATGATGGGCTTTCTGCCCCGGAAAACCTGACAGCCTGCAAGTGGGAGGGGCGGGGTGGGGGGAGTGATTTGTAGATGTTAGAACTCCTTTCCTAAACCAGCTGCTGATAGTTCTTCCTCTCTTCTCAGGGCTGTTTCCCCATGCCCTGGTGTCACCCTAGTTGTTGTTGTTGTTGTTGTTTCCTCCTTCTTCTCATTAGCTTTTTTTATGTCGTGAATTTTCCTTTGCCCTCTTTCTCTGAGTCGTGTCCACTTTGACTTGTTAAATCATTAACTTCTGAGACTTGCATTGAAGTGTTTACCTTGAGTCAGGTATTGAATGCAGGAAACAGTGAGGAAGGAGACAGATGTAGGCCTGCCCTCCTGGGGAGAGAGAAGACAAACACAAGCATGGTGGTTACAGCCGGGAGAGAGAGGGGTGCCTGCACCCTGAGGGCATGGGTGAGTGGAGGCTTCTCTGAGGAAGCGGTGCTGTCTGGAAGGGAAACAGGAAGGCACAGTGAATTGCCCAAAGGTGAGAAAGAGCAGGGCTTCTTGGTGGCTAAGTGTCACTGACAGGAACTGGTGTGAGACAGAAAGAAGGAGTGGAGGGCAAAGAGAGAAGCAAGGCCTGACAGGTAGGCAGGGATCGGCTTATACAGGTTTTGTACTTAAGATTTAGAAATTTATCAAAAGAGCCACAGGGAAACCAAAAGGTTTTGTTCACGGGCATGGCTTGGCCCTGTAGGAGACTGAGTGGGAGACAGTAGTCTGAACTGAGGTCATGGCAGCAGGACAGATGACAAGCACTCCTCCAATGAGTAGCTCTGATGTGCCAGGCTTGGTTAACATGCTTTACCTTCATTCTCCTGTTTGATCTTCCCAGCAGCCTTTTAAGGCAGGGAAGGATTACTGACATCTCCATTTCTGAGGTGAGGCACAGAGAGTAAATCACATAGTAACTGTCAGCGCTGGGAACAGAACCCATGAAGATTTCCTCTGGGTCCTGCATTACACTGCACTGCCTCCCACAGGACTGAGGCTAAGTGGACAGATTTGAAAGACGTGGATGGAGAAAGTGGTCCTCTCTTGCTTGCCACAAACCCTTTTTACGTGTTCTCTCTCTCCCGTGCTTCCCAATAAATGGCCTTCTGCCTCTTGCCAACATCTCCTGACTGCTCCTGTGTGCCCTTTTTTCCACTGCCTTTCCTGTATTTTCCAGAAAAATATGCAGGGATGTCATTAGTACAGGTTTTAGAGAGACCATGCTCAAAATATCATCTAGTGTACCTGTTCATTTTAGAGATGAGAAGGGGAACATTGATCCAGCCAATGTCACATCCCGTCAGTCAGGAGAGACGTTGGACCTAGGATATGAGCTTCTCGGCTTTCACTGCTCTTTCCACAGTTCTCAGCTTCCTACAGCTGAAGGAGAAATTTGGGCTCCTGAGAAAGGATGATAATAATAGCTCACTCACACTTATTGAGCTGCTTATTGCCTTCTAGTCAGTATTTCTGAAAGTTTCTGTGTGTGTGTACTCATTGAATTCTCACAAAAATCTTTTGAGGTAGTCATTAGTATCATCGTATCCATTTTGCAGATGAGGAATCTGGAGCACAAAGAGGTTAAGCAGCGTGCCCAGTGCCACACAGTAAGTGGTATATCTGGGATGGTAAGCAGAGCCCGCACTCTTGTATATGGTTGCTATATTGTCTCTTATGAGTAAGAGACAGTTTGGTGAGAAAAAGAGAGGCCATGGTGCACATTCTCATGTAAAGTGGAAGAGGCTGCTACTTTTGGTGTTCGTGTCTGCTCAGGAGGACCAATACTGAGCCTGGGGACGGTGGCAAGAGGAAAATGAATTAGTTCCTCTCTGTGCATTTAATCTGGTGTGTATTGTGATTTAGAGAAGATCTAGGGTCTTTGTTTTTAAATTTTATATGATTGAATGCATTTTGTGTTACTGTGACACCTTTGTCATCTATGGATCTTCTTTGGTGAAATGTCTTCATTTTTTGCCCATTTTATACATTGATTTGTTTTCTTATCATTGAGTTTTAAGAGTCCTCTATATATTCTGGATATAAGACATCAGATATATGATTTGCAAATATTTTCTCCCCATCTATGGCTTATATTTTCCTTCTCTTAATTATTTTGAAAGAAGTTTTAAATTTTGAGGTTTAATTTATTATTTTATAGATCTTGCTTTTGGTGTCATATCCAAGAAATCTTTGCTAAGTTTACATAGATTTTTCTCTTTTTTTTCTAGAAATTTTATAATTTTTGGTTTTATACTATTCCATCATTCATTTGACTCAATTTTTGTATATGATGTGAGATGTAGATTAAATTGTTGTTGTTGTTGTTGTGTGTGTGTGTGTGTATGTGTTTAATGTGGAAATCCAGTAGTACCAGCAACACTTGTTGAGGACTATGTTCTCTCCATTAAATTGAACCTTTGGATAAACCCGTAGCATGAATATGTGTGTTCTGGACTTTCTTTTCTGATCTATCGATTTCTTTGTCTTCCTTTGTGCCAATTTCACACTCTCTTGATTACTGGAGCTTTGTAATAAGTAGTCTTGAAATCCAGTAGTGTTTTTCCTCTAAATTTTTTTATCTATCAAAGTTGTTTTAGGTGTTCAGATCCTTTGCATTTCTCTATGAATTTGAGTAGTATCTTGCCAATTTGTACAAAAATAAGTCTCCTGGGATTTTGACCTGGATTGTGTGAAATCGGTAGCTCAATTTGGGGAGAATGAGCATCTTAACAATATTGAATCTTCTGACCCCAAAACAAGGGCTATATCTCCATTTATTTAGATCTTATAAAATGTCTACAATATTTTTGAAGTTTTCAATAGACAGACTTTGCACATATTTTTCTGATTTATCTCTAAGTACTTCATATTTTTGATGGCATTGTAAATGGTTAATATATAGACGTATACTTGATTCTTTCATATAGATCTTATATTCTGCAATCTTGCCAAACTTTCCTGTTCAAGTAGCTTTTTATATGAATTCCATTTGATGTTCTCTGTAAACAGTCATATCATCTGCAAATAGAAATAATTCTACTTCTCTACTACATGAATGCCTTTTTTTCCCCTTGCCTATTGCTAGAACCTTCAGTATAATGTTGAAGAGGAGAGAATGGATTTCCTGGCCTTTTTTTCTGATTCTTAGGGGAAAAGTCTTTCTCCACTCGATATAATATTGCTTATAGGTCTTTTATGGATGCTCCTTATCAAGTTGAGTTCCTTTTTATTTCTGGTTTTCCGAGTTGTTGTCTTTTTAAAATCAGGAATGGATGGTGGATTTTGTCAACTGCTGTTTTGCATCTCCTGACATTATCACTTTGTTAGTTTATTAATATTGTATGTCACATGGATTTCTGAGCATTATATCAACCTTGTATACATTGGATAATCCCCCCCTTAGTTATAATGTATAATCTTTGTATTACATTATTGGATTGGATTTGCTAAATTTTTTGCCTAGGATTTTTACATATGTGTTCATGAGGTACATGGGTCTGTAGTTTTCTTTTCTTGTAATGCATTTGATTGGTTGTAATTCTGGCCTTACAGAATATAATGGGAAGTATTTTTCCTTTTCAATTTTCTACAAGAGTTTGTGTATATGGGGTATTATTTTCCCCTAAGTTCTTGGTAGAAGTAGTCAAATGAGACATCTGTGCCATAGTTTTATTTGTGGAAAGAAAGGTGTTTAACTACATATCCAGTAGATACAGGGCTGTTCCGCTCATCTATATATTCTTGAATGAGTTTTTGTAAGTTGTGTCTTTTAAGGGATTCACCCATTTAATTTAAGTTCTTAAATTTATTGGCATAAAGTTACTTATATTTTTTATCATTTTAATATCTGTAGAATACATATGCTGTCACCTCTCTCACTCCTAATATTGTCAATTT